ATCTAGAAACATCCCTGTTGTGTTCTTTTTTTTTCTTTTTTTTTTTCTTTTTTTTTCTTTTTTTTTTTTTTTTTTTTTGTGCTTTATCTGTGTTTAAAAAGAATTGTACTGGGTTATAATGCATTTTATTAACACTATGTACATATTAGCTGCTTTGTGTTTCAGAATGGTAGTAATTGCTTTGTATATTAAAGTGATTCTTGTGAATTTGTGAATTATTGTCATAAAGAAGTGCTTTTTCTTACTGTAACCTTTGTGGTATAAACTGTCATAACTCCCTTTTTACACAAACATTTATGTGCAGTCACATAAACATGCTTTAAAAAAACTCTACAAAGTCTCTTTTTTGAGCAGGGTGTTCCATTTACACTAATTTAATTTAGTGGCAAATGGCAGCTAGAAGAATATGGGAAAAGGTGTATTTTGAGCAGTCTGTGGTATCATCTCAATTTGTGTCCTGCCCTCAGTATTCATAAAGTATTCTCCCCAAAGAGAAGGCTTTTTTTAATCTTAATTGAATTAAGAGTTAGAATTTGTTAGAGGTTAAGTCCTGAAAAACAAAGTTTCTCTTCCTCCTGATATTTTTAAACCTGTTTTCCAGTACCTATTCTGGTGGCAGTTCTGTTGTTCAATAATGTTTGAAAGGCTTATGCCTTTCACAGTTTAAATATGCTGCATGTCTCACTTTTAGGCATTCCTGTGAACTGTGTACCACTGGTCTTTAGAACAGAACAGAAACAGAAGGCAGCAAACACTGCAAGGATCGCAGCCCTATTATGTAATCTGCTAGGCTGGATCCAAACACTGGGATGGAAGCCAGGAGAACAAATTCAGCTCTGAGGTAAACACACCTCCAGTGAAATCAAGGGGAAGCAGTAAGGTCAGCTCATTTCAGCTGGGATTTTCTAGTTTTTATAATGCCATTCACGTTCTTGCTCAGAAAAATCTACAGTAATGAGAGAGAATCCCAAACAGGGTTAGTCCCCGAGATAAAAATGCAGTTTGGCTTGAATTTTGCACTGAAAAGAACTGGGTAACACAGATCCCTGTGTAGTCAACTATGTATCTTAATATCAATCAAACATTACCTTGGCTGCAGTGACATTTCACAAAAAGCTTGTTCTCTTGCACGTGTTTCAGGGATGGTTTCTCAGTGTCACAGCATGGTTGTGTCTCACCTGGTCACTCCCCTGGGGCTTGGACCCACTCCCTAGAGCGAGTGAATTTCTCAGGAGACTTATTTGTGCATCGCCCCACTGCTAAGGGATGTATGCCAACCACGTCCTACAGATGAGCTCAGATCACCTGTTACAAAACAGGATCAGTGCAATGGAACCACCCAAAGGAGTGGGATTCTGTAGTGCTGGGATGAGCAGGGTGACAGAAGGTGCTTGGGCAGGGTGTTGGTGTAATTGCTAAACAGCTGCTGGCAGCAGCTGTTGTCATGCACCATCTCATACAGAGCAGGAGCTCCTGTGGGACCCGTGGGTTGGGACACCCGAGTCTGCAGGTGTCACTGCACAGGGCTGCTCCCTGTGCTCCCTCACCAGCACTTACACCTCTGCTGCTTGTCCTGCACGCCTGGCGGGATTCACTTGTGGCCTGACTCACTCCTGACCTCTCCCTGAAGGTAAGTGCATGGAAATACAGAACACTTGGGAAGCCATCCTGGGACAACAGAAGGCAGCACTCCCTGCCTGGTGCACGTGGGTGTCAGCACTGCCCAGGGGGGATGGACTGTGGGTTGCAGCTGAGCTGCATTCTCACGCTTGATGCCTGCTCCTAAACGCTGTAGCTTTAAATGCAACCACAACTGACATGCACATGGTTGTGGCCTAACTGCAGTATTCCTGGAGCTGGTCTGCTAAGTCTAACAGGACATGCACCCCAGTAGCAGTCAGAGGAGAAGGTGTCCCCTGGAGAGGTGCCACTTGCTGGGCTGGGGTGGGGCCACCAAGAGTTCCGCAGGCCAGGGGCAAGGCACTCACCTGAGCTGCCAGTGCCATCTCGTGCTCTTCTCCTGTTATTTATGGGCAGTAGCATCACTGCAGCCTTCAGGCGCGCTCCCTTGGGTGTGCATGCAGCTGCTGTGTAACAGCAGCACGGCTAAAGAAGCCAAGCCTGGTCTCCACTAGCACATGTCTGCCCTGGCAGGATGGCTGTGGGCTGTTACAGCAGCAGTGGGAAATCTGACACTGAAAACTTAACAATTAGATGGAATTAAACTGCATTGGTTTAAAAGTACAAAACTGTTTAATATCGTCAAAGCGAGGTCTGGGACAAAACCCCCTTCTTAGAAGTGTGCGGGTCGCTGCACCAGCCTTTATTCTGTGCTTTATTCTGTGCTATTCAAACAGAATTTTTAGCCTGTTCCTGCTATGGCAACAGTGCAAGCTGCTATGGCTGTCAGTGCTGCAAGCTGCAGCCTCTTGCAAGGGCCGAGCACTGCCAGGCTTTTCCCACAGAAAAGTTCCCCTGGGCACTCACGAGCCCAGGCACCAGCACACTGCTTTCTTCCAGCTCCAGCCCAAGGGGGGCCTGAGATACACATGAGCCTAATGCCTACTCCCAGATGAGTTTGGAGACAAGGATACACCAGTGGGGAGGAAAAGGAAGAGGAGAGGTGAGAACTTACAGCCACACTCCAAAAACTAGAGCCAGACAGAGAGGGGAGAGCTCATAATTCTTTTCAACCATTGCTCACCCAGCGGATAGGACAGAAGGAGCTACACCTGACACATGAGATCTCATGATCTGTTTCCAACTAAAGGTGCTGTCTTCCTTCTCCCAAACTGACTCCAACTCCAGTTTCATGGCTGCGAATTCCCAGCCAGCTGCCTAAGCACTGTTTTAGTGACACCATGTGGCTCCTGAGGATACTGTTACAGCAAGTGTTCCAGAGCGGCAAATCCAGACAGGGTCCGAAGCCAAGCAAGGAACTTCGCTGAAAACATGCAAGAGATGTGCCAGGGATGAAACACAAACCTTAATGATAAATGTGTCATTTCCACATTACAGTCAGCACAGCACTTCTGGACCACCGACCAGGAAGTGTGATGGGAGCAAAAGTGACCAAAACTTCCAAAATGTCCATGGCCCAAAGCAGCTGCTGCTGTGTTCTGCAAAGCTGTTTGCTGTTGCCAGTGCCAAACACAGGCACATGCTCAAAGTCTGAGCCTGACCTGAGGCTTTTTGAGTTTAAGTTTAAAGCAAAAATAGTTCCACATCCACACACAACAAAAAAGGGTAGTAAAGCAATTCCTGCGTTTAGAGGTGTAGCTGTCTTCTGTTTGCCCATTGTTTTCATCAATTTCATTCTTCCACCACTAGAAAGAGAAGGAAGTCTGCTGCTGGTGTGAGATGGATTCCCAGATCTTGTGGGATAAACACACAGATGTGTTTTACAAGCTCAAGGTATGAAATCTGTTACTCGGAGCAGTGTCTTAACTACCGCTGTGCACTGAAAGCACACAAACCTAGCTGCTGCCCCAAGGTCCCAAGTAATGCAAGAGTACTTCCCCTGCTGCAAAGACTGCACAGAGCACCTCCTGACCTGAGTAACAGCTCTCAGAGACAGAGGGAGCAAGAATAAAAGCACAAAGTAGAACATTACTAGTGGTGATTTGAGAGTCAAGGGCTGATTTGATATTTTAAGAACAGCTTGAGTTTCCTTGCTGCACTTTCCCAGCAGCACATGTGCACGTGTATCTCCTCCAAGGAGCCTCAATCTGTGTGAGGCAGACTTGTTAGGGACAACTCAGAAACCGCAACTGCTTCAGTACTGCAGGTGTAGCCCACTCACTTGCAAATCAGATAAAAATAACACTGATTTCTAAGCTGGCTTATTTGGCAATCCCTGTTTCCAGTGCCCCTCCAGATTTTGTTCTTTGTTTCACTGTGCCTCCTCAAAGTAGAAGTGACAGCAAAAGAACACCTTTATAGCATCTGCCTTTGGTTCTCTTTGCCTTTTAAGTGGTTTCTTCTACCACAAACTGCTAAGATGCAGAAGTCCTGAAGAGTTAAAGCATTTAGAGCTGGAGCATTAGCTTTTGTTTCATCCACTCTCCTACTTTTCTAGAGTTAAGGAAGTGATAAAGGGGAAAAAAAAGCATTGTAATCTCTTTAAGTTTCCCCAGTAGTTAAATGTGGTTTGGTTTCAGACAACAGACCTTTTGATATAACAATTTTGATGCTGGAGGTTTCTGCAACTTGAATCTGCTTCAAAAATTACATTTGATAAAAAAACAGTGGAACACCCTATATGACACTATTCAGATATGAAGCAGAGGTTCAATATGCAGAAGTACAATCCTTGCTGTATCAGACCCAGTGATCAGACAAGACCATCAGAACAAGAAGCCAGTGAAATAACACAACTGCAACTTCATGCTTAGGAACAAGTGTATTCAGTAGAAACAAAGGGGAGAATTGAACATCATCAGTGGCTTATTAACAAAGCAGAGAGTCAAAAGTCATCCTTGCGACTCCCCCTCTGTGCTTTGTAGATATGAACATCCTTACTGGAATCATAGTGGACCTCAGACACGGAGAAACGCTGTCTCAGCATCTTCAGGAACTTGAGGTCCCGCTCGTAGCGGATGCGGCAGGAAAGGAGAATCACCGTTCGCTCCGAGCACAGGTGCTCCAGCGTCTGAAGCAGCTCTGCAAATGTTTCTTCCAGATAAACGATGTCTGCACCCAGGATTAAGTCAAATGCTCCTGGAGAGAAGTTATCCAGGTCTTTTCCCCATGTCAGCTCCTTCACCACCGCTCTGGGACGCAGTTCAGGGGGTAAGTTTGCCTGCACATTTGACTCCAGGAGCTCCAGCGCTGCTGCCCTGTCTGTGATGGTGACACGGGCACCTAAGGGGGACAGGAGGCCATGGCTCACACTCACAATCCACATCCCTCAATGCAGCAAGAGGAACACAATGCTCTAAATCCAGCAGGCTCCTTAGCTCCTGTTAAACATTAACAGCTCCCCTGAGCTGCCTGATTAAAAACAAACAAATAAAAGAACAAAATAAGCAAAAACCCCCCTGTCTACAGACATCCTACCCTTCATCATTCACTTAAGAATATAAAGTGTATTCTACGTGAAGATTAAGTTGGGTAGGGAAAAAAAACATCTTTCCTGGTGATTTTTCTTAATGCATGGAAGTCAAGGAGTTACTTTTGGCCTTTCCATATGCAACAAAAGAACAAATTACAGGGGGTGTTACAATTAACCTGCTCCAATTCCGTATTTTTCTGTAAGAGAGAGGCAGCTAGACAGCCTCTCTCACAGGTCAGACAAAAGCCTGTATTTTGTCAAATTGTTTTGTTTCTATGATTTCAACAGGCACCTTTCACAGCCACTAGAGCTTCGAATTACAAAGTTAACCTGGGAAAGATTGCACAAATTTAACACAGTACCCAGTTCCTGCTTCAGCCACAGACAGATCAGCAGCAAATCACTTCATTTCCCTATGCCCTGTCTGCAAGACAGGCTAATGAAAGGCTTATGCGAGCTCGGAGAGTGGTTTCTGTCTGTAGCTTTATCTGCATCGGAGGACAAGTGGAAGTCGGGAAGCACAGCTCCTGCTCCCTGCGGGGAATAGCTGCAGAGCTGAGTGCTGCAGAGCTGCCTGCCATGGCAACAGGCGGCAGCCTCAACAGGGTCCCGCCATAAAGTAAACTGCAGCGGCACCGTCACCACAACAAACACCGCAGCAGGCTCTGAGTCCGACAAGGAAGGAAGATGACTCAGAGAACCACCACGGCTCACACGTGCAGCTTCGGTGCCCACTTCTACACCAGGCCTGTACAGGTAAAAGAGCTAGTTTTACTGCAGTTGTGATTTGCTTTAAAAGAGACAACAAAAAAAAAAGCCCTTACCTAGTAATGTGACCACTATTCCCAGCAATCCAGTTCCAGCTCCCAGCTCAATCACAGACCGATCCCTGAGATCAATGCCTTCCATCTCCAGATAAGCACACAGAACAACAGCCTAAGCCAAGAGACAGGGGAGATTAAGCACAGGGTTTCAGTCCCACTGAACACAGGGTTTCTGGTTTAACCTGAGAGAGGAGGTTATGGGAAGGGTCGGGTGCCTCAGGTCTGCAGCAAACTTTGTTCAGCACTTCTCCACCTCCTGTGTGCACCTGTAGTCTTTTTATGCTTTATGGAAGTTTTTTATAGTGTTTTATGAAAGACTCCTACTGGCAAACGGAAAAAAGAACCACAGTGGTTACAACTTGGATGTGGTGACTGCTCCATGAATGCCCAAACATAACAGGGGGTAGAAAGAGCTGTATTTGGAAAGGAAAAGTTGTATTGGAAAGGAAATACGATAGTTGTATCTGAAAAAATTTCCTCAAAGGAAATTTGAGGGGTTGTCAAATATTAGCGAATAAACCCAGTATTGCAAAAGTCCAGAATAAGGTTTCATAGTATCTTGTATGGTATTTCAGAAGGTTTCTGCACAACACTGGTATCCCCTCAGGAAGGACACAGGGAAAGTAAACTAGTGACACTTCTAGCTGGTTGTATATAGCATGTTACATAGGTCTTGACAAGGACCTCTCCCACAGCAAGTTCTGCCAAAGCTGACGTCCAGAAAGATCAGCAACCCTGTACAATTCATTTGAGAAATTTGCTAAAAATGCTACACTTCTTCTTTTAAACTAGAGGTAAAAGTGCAATTTGTGTGTGGACTGAAATCGAACTCGATGGGAAGCCCTTGGGTTCCTACAGTGATGCTGCGAGCGACTGTGCTGTGGCCTTGGACCCACCACAAACCCCTCTGTTTTGGACGGCTCTTATCCCCAAGATAAAGTCGATCAGCACTCCTGCTGGAGGCTACAAGCAGTGGGATCTATGCTATGCTCTGAAAGATGCCAAGCTAACATCAGCAGCCACTGAAAAGAAAGAGGTGAGAGTTATCCAAAATATTTCCTGTACTGGGCAGTGGCTGTGCAGGGTTTGGATGGTGCATCTCTCTTGCATTCCTGCAGGATCTCTTATGGGGAAAGAGGGAAAGGTAAAGCACAGTTTAACATGTTCTCTCCTAACATTAAAAAAAAAAAAGTTAAAGGCCTTCCCTTTACAATTCCACGGTAAATAAATTTCTACGGTGAATCTGAAAGCTCGGCAAGAGCCTCAGGAAGCCACCGGCTGCAGAAAAGCTGCGCTTTTGAACACCTACCGCGTCCCAGACCACGGCCGCCACCCCCAGCCGCCGCCAGTCCTGCTGGAGGCGGATGGTGCGGCTGGCGAAGTGGAAGGTGGCCGAAGGGCTGTGCAGCTGCCGCGCTGTCCAGCCGCCTCCCTCCTCGTAGGGCACCAAGGCCATCCCGCCGCCGGCCACCGCAGCCCCAGGCCCCGGCTCAGCGCGGCCCCGGCCGCCGGCCAGGCCCTGCCCGAGCCCCGCGCTGCTCCGCGCAGCCAGGGGCGGGCGCAGCCTCTGCGCAGCGCCCGAGCGGGAACGGCTGCGCTCAGCCCAGGCAGGGCGGTCACTTGTCGGGTGCGCAGGGCTGGGCCGGGTGGAAGGTCCCCGCAGCGGTCCTGCCCCTCGGCCGCGGCGGGGGCCAAGGCGGCGGGGAGGCTGTGGCGGGGCCGGCGGCGCGGGGAGGGCCCCGGGCGGCCCGAGGGGAGAAGCGCCGCGCTGCCTCCCGCGGGAGGCCGGGCACGGAGGGGCTCCTCGCCTGCTCACAGCCGCTGCCACGCGGAAAGGCACGGGGGGAAAGGTCCCACGCCTGTGGGACATTTTCAGCTGTCCCCGCAGCCTCCCTGTGCTTCCAGCCTTGGGATTTTGCTTCGGGGGCTTGGAAAGCAGTGCCCGACAGAAGCATTTGTGCAGCGCAGCAGGCGCCGTCCTCCATTGGTGGCACGGAGAGCAGTATCTCCGCAAGGGCCCATCGCGGCCCGGGAGCGCTCCCTCAGCCCTGGGAGAGCGGACACACAGCTCTGCGTCTCAGTGGAGCTCCGACCAAGGCTGCTCTCGGCTGGCCGTGTGGCCGAAACGCTCCCCGGCGCTGTTTGTGCAGCGGTGTTTCTTCACCTTTGGCTCCATTTAATCTCTTGTTTGGCAAAACAACACAGTGCTCCGCTCCTGTGTTACTTGAACTAGCTCCAAAGGCTGCTAAAGGCCACGGCAGAGCCGGGGAAGTGTCCTGGCAGCACTCTGCCCTGGCTGCCCGGAGGCTCTGCTGCGGGTCCCCCACAGAAAGGCGCAGTGCCCGCAGCCACGCTGCTCAGCCCCCGAGAGGAGCGGGGCCGGCAGGGCCAGGGGACACAGCTTCTGTGCCCCATCTCCAGTGGCTCTGTCTCCTGACAGCTCCCGGTGACACCACCGATGAGGCAAGGCCGGCCCCTCGAAGGTGGGGACCGTAACCAGCTCCAGAAAACATTCCCTCTCTTTCCCACAGGGACCAGCAAATCTGTCTGGCAGTCAAAGGCAAGTGTGGTTACATCTAAAAGCTGTCAATTTCAATAGAGTGGCTCAAGATTCGTGAAAACCTCTGTGGAAGATCATTACAGGTTGCACAGGGGTAACAGAGGGTAAAGCTTGTTTTTAGGGTTCTGCTCCTGTAGGAGAATGGAACCCAAAATTTCACTTGCCCCAAACCAGTCCATGCTTGTCTTACAGCAACTCAGACTTCTCCCTATAAACATGCCAGAACAGGTGTGATGATTCAGTTTTCTGTGGTTTTATGTCGTAAAGTGCTGGTCCCTTGCCACTATTCCTGCTTTTGAGAGTTTGAAATTGCTTGTGCTATTTTCTCAATTATTTTTTAAATTATTTATATAGGCAGTGTGGGGGAAAAAAAAAAAAAAAGCAATGAGAGTCATTACATTTGAAACAAGAACTCTGAATGACTTTTTGTGTCACCTACATTCTGCCTAAACTACATTAGCAGGCAAATAGAGGGAAACTCCCAAATGGCACAAAGCTTCAACCTCCACCTCCTGCACCATATGCCAGCCCTGGGATCTCCAACCAGAATATGGAGGAGTGTGGCAGGGCTCCAGTGCTCCCAACTGCTTCCTTTCTGTCCCCAGATGAGTTTTCTTCCCCTGCAGTATTTCATAAGACCAAGTGTCTGGCTGAATAGCAACCAGAGTAAAAAAAGGCTGCATGGGAAAATGTATTGTTCCCGAAGATGATAATGCAGTGAGTGCTTTTATCCCAATAATGTGATTTTATTAGTCAGATATCCCTGAATATCTCAGGAGCGCAGCAGGTTCTCTACCAATCCTGCCCTGCTTCTCAGAAATATTTCCCCTTCTTCCCTGATAAAGTTGCTCTGGCACTGAGTTCCATGAGCCTTAGACAGAAGATCAGAAATTACTTTCTGGATCACAGCTGGCTAGTGAAGCTATTAAGAAAGAGCAAGTCCACTAGAAGTTTAATAAGGGCCTGATTCCCCATATTCATTCTGAGCCTATGTTTACCTTCTCTTCACCTTTTCCCATCCATTTTCTAAGAAAATGGAGTACCTGGGTACTACAGTGGCAGAGAGACACACTTGGTTTCTTCTACCTTTCCTGACAGTAAAAGGAAAACACAACAGAGAATTGTGGCTAAAACAGATGTCCAGAGCTGGAATGCCTTTCTCCCAGCAGGGCTAAAGCTCAGCACAGCAGTGCAGTGGTGAGAACTTAGCCTGGTTTGGCTTTTGAGCACTGCAGGGGGCTGTAAGGACACCTAAGCTGCAGGTAATCTTGCAAAGTAGAAAACAGCTGATTTTAAGGTAAGCAAGAATGATTTAAAGTGTGAAGAAACACCGATTCAAGTCCATTCTTACCTCATTCAACCACTTGATAAAGCAGGCATAATGTAGCCAATTATGAGTAAATCCCACCACCTCGGATTTGGGTAAGCTGCTCAGGGTGATTAAGAAAAAGTGTTTAAGAGCAGTGGTCCATGAAATACTTAAAAGATCAAAGAACAAAGTAGGTAAGATAGAAATGAGTACAAATTATTTTGAATCCATACTAATATAACTCTCTTACTGCAATCTTCTCTTTGCTGCTTAGCATGTAAAATCCTCTCTTAGAAATGAATGTGCCAGTTCTTGTGATAGCTCTGCAAACACTGGATGCACTGCATGGCTGCGCATGGATTTTGGAGACATCCATGATGGGAAAATACTGCATCCCTCACACAGTCTCTGGTTACCAAGGCAAAGGCAGATATAAATAGAAACAATCTGATTTTTTTTAAACTCTATCTAGAAACCTGTGCTGTTCATAACCCTCTGTCAGCAACGCCTTGTTCCAAATGGTTCTGTTCTACATTTGTGTGAAAACTTCTGGCTTAATCCTTTCCTCCCGAAATAAACAGCAGCTACTTCTGGTTGTCATTCCACTGAAACAAGAAAATTGTCTTGGAAGTAAAGTCTGGACAAATATCTGTTTTGCTAAGAGCTTTCATCAACCAAGTGAACAAGAGGTAACACAAAGCATGGAGGAAAACCCAGAAAAGAAAGCAGTCTTTCTCCCTATGTATCACTGTAAGTGGCCATTCAAATGACTTGCACTGAAATGATTTAACAAGTTTTACATTTTCATCTTCACCAGTAGAAGAATCTTCCAGATTCTCCACACCAGTAAAATAGATTGGGTGGTGAATCACTTGCTGTTAAATACAAAGGGAATAAAGCAGAGATTAATTTGGTTGATGACAGCCTGCAGTTGCAGAATCAAGACAGCCTCAGCTTGAAGTGATTTGGACCCTCTTTGAAACTGATGGGGTGAATTAAAAATGAAAACTTTTGTTTCTGCAGAAACTGGTGGGTTATCAGTAGACTTTAGAACTTACTGCTTTTGCAAGATCCTTGCAAAAAAGTGAAATCTTGAAATAAATGTATAATCCGATCTAGCATTTCATTTCCTTTACACACAGAGTTACATTAAACAGTGGAAGTAATTATCAAAAATATGAAGATGTATAATTTCCTAAGTGCTTGAGCTGAAACACAGGAAGTTTCTGGAACCTCTGAAGAGGGAATTGTTCCTATCAGTAATACTACATTTATCCCTTCACCCTTGCATTTTGATAAACTGCCATAAACAATCACCACGTTTATTAAAATGCATTGTTGCAGAAAGATCACTTAGCTTTTAGTAGAATTATGTGAGTGAGCTCTCTAAGGCCTTGCAGATCTGGAAGCTGACATTGTTCTGAAGTTTTAGTTAAGGAACAAAAAGCAAATTGAGTCACCTCTTCTTCACAACTAACCACTGGATTTCCAGCTGCACTTCATTTGCTGGAAACCTCCCCCAGTTTCAGATGTTCACAGACCCACAGCCTTACCCACACCTCCAGCTGCTGAACTTCCAGGCCACGAGATGCCAGGGTTGGGTCTTGGGAGGGGAGAGTCCATAACCCATGGAGCAAGACTGACACGTGAGCAGACGTGGGAAAGCTGCTCCAGCAGCACTCCAGGTGCACAGGGCTGTGGTGGGGAAGTGGAACAGACATGGGGCAGGGAAAATGTTACAAAAACCTTCCTTTTGTGGAGTCTCAGTATGGATCTAGAGGCTCAGCATTAGGTGGAGAAATTTATTATATGCTCTATAGGTGCAGTGTTTTGCAATCTGAGAGGAAATTACAGTGCAAGCAATGCACTGTATTAATTTCAAACTAGATAGCTAATTTTAAACAATTTAAAAACAAATATACAGACAGGCAGACAACAGCTATAGCATTCATACAGATGCAAAGGCATTTCCCTCAGTGCAGCTGTTACCCTTTTAAAAGAAGGAAGAATCCAAGCATATGAAAAATATGGGGGATTTGGTGTTCTTTCTAATGGTATTGTCAGTGTTTCTCTTCTTGAGTCCTTAGAAAGAAAATCCATCAGACAATATAGAAGATGGAAGAGTTGAGTCTAAGCAATTTCAGGTATCTTAAAAGTAACAGGGAGGGTCCCTTAGCACCACTGTCCAGGCTTTGGTGGCCCAGAGCTGGAATTAGAATTGCGGAAGGTTCTAAATAAACTTGCTGCAGGACTTACACATGCACAGTTAGAATTTTCTGAGAATAAACTATTCATGTTAAAGTTTCTGTTAAAATACTGAAAGGCATTTTCCTTTTCCACACAAGAAATCTGTCTCCCTGACCTGCAGGAACAGCTATTTCTAATACCAGATAAATGAAAGTGGTGGTTCTGCCAGCCTAAAGTACAGCTTTGCAGGTCTCCCTCTTGGCTCCAGCACATCTCGAATTTTCTTCTCGGGTACTAAGCCTCCATTAACATTAACTTAGTCTTTAGTAACTGTCAAGCTGGTTTTATTTTACCTGAAGACAAAACAAAGGTATGAGCAGAAGAGAGAAGCTAAGATAAAGAAAGGTTTACTCCCACATGCCTGTGCTGTTGGATCCCTGCAGCGATCCAGATGCTCGCATGCCAGCCAAGCAGCTTCTGCATTGCCTGTAATGACA